AAAATTTTTGTTTGTTTTGAGATCCTGAATTCATATTTTAAATTTGGCAGTTTAACTCAGGAACACTGTGTGTATATTAATCTTAATAATAATACAATTATTAATAATAATATAAAAATAAAAATTTAATATTGTCACACAAAAAAATATTTTGCTGTTTCAGCTAGAATTATCGCTGTCTTTTGTATTTAATAAAAAATTATTATATGTATCATACGCGAAGAATTTATAGTATAACATTTTAATAATATATGTGGTGTGTGTGTGTGTTCAAGAAAATTTAGGTTTTATAATCAAATATGAATCACTGCTAAATATAAATCACAGTTACAATCATTTGATTGAACTTTATAGAAAGACTTTCTTGATAAATTTAACAAATAGTTTATATATAAATTCTGTCTTTGTCTTTTATTGATTAGATACAAAACATATCTAATATCGCAGTGCTTGCTAATTATTTACCTAATTTAGCTAATTTTTCGTATCTAGATAATTTTCGCTATAACTGCAAAATCATTCTTTGGTCAAGGAATATTATATTTGTTATCACTAATATAATTAATAATGCTAAAATTTTTTTATGTACATTTTGAAATGTACTCTCTCTCTTTCAGGGAGTACAAGGATTATTTCAGGTCTATTTTGAATTATATCTGAATTCTGCACGTATGTATCCCTATCATGGTCGCATTCAGAATCATCGTCCGGGTGCACTTAAGTGTCGTTTTATTGTCTTTGTTGTCTACCAAATATTGAACAAATATAAAATAACATGTAGATGATAATTCTGAATGCAGCCCTCTGTATATACACTATAAAAAGTAAAATGATGAAGTAGATTGTAAAGTTCATGAAACGTTGGCATTCCAAGAATGGATCTGGACATGGAGAAAACCCGCGAAACGCATAATTTTTACATAAAAGGCACCCGTGAAAGCCTCAAGGATATTAAATAAAATGTTAATTTTAACTTAAAGACGTATAGATTCTGAGACATGCAAAAATGTTAAAATTAACATTTTTATGTTAATTTTAACATTTTTGTATACTTAGAAAATCCATGCGTTTTTAAGTTAAAATTTATATTTGATTTTTTACATTGTAGTTCTTGTTTCTGTCGAGCGCTTGTTAGAAAAGGATTAATGCCTTTGTATTTCAAAGTTATTTGATACGGTAAGAGCACTTTTGTGGCGTTTATAGCACGATTAAACAAGTGTCGATCTATTTATATACATGTGTATAAACGCACTGGAAAAAAATTTACTAAATTTGAGTAAATATTTTTTTTTGAACAGTTCCAAGTATAAACATTTATTTAGAGTAAATAAATATTTGCTTAATAAAAGAAGATATGATACTTAAATCAAATTAATGGTTTTTGTATTAAATAAATATATGTGTTTAGTAAATATTTACTTGGAAGTATTAAAAAAAAATTTATTTAATTTTAATTTTTTCTGTACACGTAAACATGTCGACGCTTTTATTGCGCCACGAAGTGGCTCATGTGTCTGCCATTAATCGATTGTCCATTTTTTAGTTCTTTCGAATTTTTCCTATTATCTTGGATCAGTCATTTTTCACATTGTATGATGGTCTCAGCCTAATTTCTTCTATAGAGCGCACCGCGCAAGCGACGGCTATGTTCACCGTTGCGGTTGCATCCTTCCAGTCCCGCGGTTATCACCAACATATCGACGTAATACATTCGTAGTCGGGGAGATGGCAGTATGAAGCATCCAGAGTGGATGTTCCAGAGTAGAGACCCAAGCATGGACTCTTGTGGAACACCGCATGACGCCTCTTTGTTTTGCTGGAGTTCCTTGTCGCAGAGCTCCAGCGACCTTTCCTGGAAGTAATTCGAGACGACGGCGATCGGATAGGGAGATACGTCATATATTATACGCCGTATTGCAGCGCCTTTACTATCCGATCCAAGAAAGTGTATTAAATGCGTTGGTTATATCCACATACACATTCACACGACCATTCTTTCCTCCGCCATCATGGATTTCGTGAGCACCCGAATTTGCTAGATGGTATTAATTGTCGAGTCGATTTCACGAAATTCATATTGTTTCAGCAACAAGTCGACTCTCCCAAGTCAAGTATGATTCTGTTGGCTATTATACATTCGAAGAGTTTGCCGGTTCCAACAAACAAATCGGACTATAAGCTGATGGGAACTCCGCCAGCCAACCTCCCTTGCATAAGAGGACCAGCCTTGCCCTTTTATACTGGGAAAAAAACTTATCTAATCTGAAGCAATTGCCTCAGGTATTCTCCGATCTTGTCAAATGTCAAGGCCTTTTCCGAGGATATCATCTGCTCTCAGAGTTTTCGAGCGATCCTTTAGTCGTGTCGCCATCTCGTTCCTCGAGATCCCCAGCTCTTTTCTCCAGTTCTCCGGGGGATCAGCGTATGGAAGAATTCCTCCTTCCTCTCGACTCGGAAATAGTGTTCCTACAATTTGATCTAGGAGCTGGGAATCCGTGCATTCTGTGATGGATGACCGTACTTTATGCGCTACTATATGGCGCTACTATACGCCTCCACGCGTCGGAAGTTATCCTCATTCTTCCCCCCTCACACACATCACTACTAAGTGGTAGCGTAAGCTGAGATCTGGTATGGGGCCAGGCCCATCGTCCAACCTCTTGAATACCCCTTATCGCGGGAATTTCTAGACGTATGACAAAGGATCGCCGCCGATGGTAGTGCTAATGATAATGGTAGTGGTGGTGGGAGAATCGGATTCACCTCCATAGTCTCTATTTCCCTATCGGGTGGGGGTACTGTTATTTCTTTGTTTCCTCCCCACATTTTCTTATCCTTTCCTCCTCTATGAATACAAAGGAAGAAGTGCCATAAACTTGTCGGAACCCATGCTTCCGTTATCTGACATGAGTCTTCAATTGCGTCCTCCATTGCCCTCAGGTCGCTCATTTGAGCTCGAACCTTAAAACAACCTAACTTTTAAGCGTGGACGTAACTCATCGGTGATTTTTCGGTTCAGTAGCGCAAAAGAGGTTCAGGCTTGGAGAGAGATGCAATAATATAAATTAACGCGGAATTATACAATAAAATAAAGCTTGATTTATGGAAAGTAAATATGTGGTTACAATAGATGTGTTCTACGCAAAATTAGAGGAGTACTTTAAAATCTATAAATTTTAATCGATTTTAAGAAACTAATATCTCGACTTCCAGGACATTGTTCCTTAGTGCGATTTAAAGCTTCTACTTTAAAATGGCTTAAGTGAAATTTTTCGTTTCATTAAAATGTTTTTTTCGTGAAAACCAAAAGCAGAGAGTGTTAAAGTCCTGAAAATGTCATGACATTGCAGCCTTCTATGGGCAAAACAACGAAGAAGCAAAAAACGTTACCACATCAGTTTCGAAGCCGAGAACATTTTCTTTAAAATGACATAAAAAAATTGTTTTAACTTATCTAGGAGCTGAGTTATTAAGTTCCAAAGTAGACTATTTTTTATGATTAAGTACGTCGGCATTTGCGTTATCTGATGTGCACTACGAGGAGATTGCTCGGTCGGAGTTTGCATCATGGTTCGTGCGTGCGTGCGTGCGTGCGTGCATCTCTAGCGGGGAGAAGTTGATCGGCGATACTCGGCGTTCAGGGGAAGCCATCAGAGCAGTTGTTACCTGTGAATTATATTTGAATTTGTTTAAAATAATCTTGGGTACACCGCGCCTTTATCGTTTGCGAGTGACTCGAAGTCATTGCAGCTACATCTGACAGATTGTTATGCCGAGAACGATATGTGGAGTGCATCGTTACATCATCCCTCTCCCTCTTCTTAAATAGTGCTTGTATTTGAGGAATTATTTACTTTGGAATGTAGGTATGTTCCGTTGCTGTGGAGTTCGATTTTAGGAGTTCACGTTTTGTTCTTAATTATTTTTAGATTTATGACTATTAAAATCTGATACGATTGGATGTTACATCAGCGATCATAAATGTATCGTAGTATTTGTAAATTGTGTTTTGACAGCCGACTGATGTAACCTCAGTTTTTAATGAAATCTCTCTATCAAATAACCTAGTGATTAGGTTGAAGACATTTCAAGATTTCTCTATCCGGATAAAGACGGCAAAGGTTTTTCAGAGAAATCTCTGAAATACTTCAAAGCTTAATTGAAAGGAAGACTGAAGCCTTCAATATATCAGATAAGTTGTAGTTTTGAAAAAATATAATTGCTTTTACTTGCCAATAAGAAAATATACTTTGTAAGCTGTTTTTCTTACAGACAATAATATAAATAAGCGAATACGATAGAGTGTTTGTGGCGAGAAGTTTTATTAGAGACAAGCACAGAAAGGTAATCCCAAATGTTTAATCATAATGTATTTCAGGCACTCACCATGCTAAGAATGAAGGTTAGTAGCATTAAAAGCCTTTATATTGTTGTTTCTTATTCAATCTCGGTGAATATTGCAATCTCGGCATAATATATGAGTGCCAGAATCAAAATAAAATTAAATTGCGAATCACCTGAGAGTTGAATGTATTTTAAATAAGATTTTTCCCGTATATGTGTTATATTTTATTACATGCTTTTAGACGATTAAGAAACAATTTAAAAAACTAGATTTATATAATTTATACATATTATAAATATATATACAATTTAAATATCACTCAGATGTGTATCAGTACTTTACAGTTCTCGAAATTTTGTCCACATTAAATTTTTCGCGTCGATGACTTGTGTTTTAGCTCCGGAGCTTAAATTGGACATGCTTGCTGTATATGGAAGCATAGTTGCATATCTATGCATCAACTTGTATCTCCGATGTCTGAAATATGTAATAATATGTATAAATTATATATATGATAATATTAAATTATATACATTATTATATACTGTGACATGACAATTTTTGTCCGGTACTTTTGTCCGTCGCGTGCGAGCGCACCTGCGAATGTGCACTAATTCTTCAATGTCTGTTTTTGTTTAATAATTTTTCTCTTTTCGTTAAGACTTTTTTTTCAGTGATTAGAAACTCACAATTAGAATTAGAATCGCCGCAGACCGCGCTCGGCAGCTGTAATTTCCTTCTGTAATTGTGCCGTCTCACCCATAATGGAAGAAGAAGGATTACATCGCTAGAAAGAAAGAAGAGGCGATTCCTACTGGAAGATCACCTACCGGAAGTCCGGACATGCAGGTCGTATTATTTTAAATATTTGCTTGTAATCCGTGGCCGTCTTGAGCATTACACCACACATTACCCTTTGTAGAATGCGATGGAAGACGAGAGTTCCCGGCCACCAGAGGAACCAGTTGGGGGCATATATTCCCGAGCGAACTGGTGGAGGAAGCTGCTAGGACATTCTGCGTCAGCCCGGGGAAATTAGGGGCCATAGGCGAAAAGGGAACCCTGGGAGAATTGTATTACGCGCTCTAAAGCGCAAGGATTCGCGGCATGCGCGGATAGCGTGGTTGACAGGAGCCAATCGGCGTGACGGCCCCCTGAGGGAGGAGGGGGAGAATGGCCTGCGTGAATCCGCAAAGAGCTCCCGGGTCTCACTCGTTTGTGGCTCAGTCGATAGACGAGGATGTGCGACTCCACTATCGACGAGCATTCTTGAAGATTTTGAATATTACTACCGAGAGGAGAGTTGTCGTAAGGGATTGCGGAAGGATCCTGTCCCAGAAGGTGAGACGAGCGTCGTCGTCACTACTATAAAGCTGCCAATCTGGGTTCGTAATTTCAGGTGGAGCGCACGTGGAAAAGCTCGCATCGCGGAAAGCGGTCAGTTTAATGGTCTCTGTATAGAGTCATGAAATTGCGAGACACGTGCCATCCTTCCAAGCATTGTGATTAGGTGAAATATTAGTTGTCGAGTCGCGCTCGCCTCTCTTGCCTCTCGTCATTTTAGGTTTTCGTTTTATATTATATCGTTTGTGCTGATGTGATTGTGTCGCGCTTAATGTTCGATTTCACATCAGGGTGTTACCCTCCCGAGTAGCGTGCATTACTTTGGGTGCGATTTCTGTCGCGTTGTTTTGCTAATAATCGGTTGTTGTTCATCAGTTATCTGCGAAGATGACCGTGAAAAGAAGTCAGAGCTCGTAGTCTAGAGTACATTGTCATCCGGCGTTAAAAGTAAGTCGTCGTTGTCTTTAGTGAAAATAAATTATATCGAGTTCAACGGAGGGAGCGGAGCTCCGGAGATTGTATGTAACCGATTTGTAAAATACAATTGTTCTTTATTTTATTGTTTATTTATGTGATTCTTGAAACCTATCTCTCTCGTCCTCCGATAATTTTCCTACCTTTAACGACCCACCCCTGCCGTCGCGAATTTAGTACGAATGAAAGTAGATGAGATTATTGAAAGAGTGGCACGCTCTCTCGTGCCTGCACCCCACTTATTTAGCGAGAAACTCGAATATTTCACAGCTAAGTGGAAAGTTCATCTAGCTGTCGAGATATTACGCTTTCGAGTGCTAAAAGTTTTTTTAAGTTAGAGGAGATCAAGGAGCACGCGACGAAGTTGTGCCGTCGCTCGCGAGCACGGTTACAATACATTAAATTATATACATTATTTATGATTATTAAATTATATACATGATAATATAATTACATACTTATCTCTAGAACACTTCTCGCCACAAACACTCCATCGTTGACTATCTTATTCGCTTATTTATACAATATTATTACCTGTGTAAGAAAAACAGCTTACTAAGTATGTTGTTTTCTTATTGGCAAGTAAAAGCAATTATACTTTTTCAAAATTATAACTTATCTGATATATTGAAGGCTTCGATCCGCTTTCTTTCAGTTAAGTTTTGGAGTATTTCAGAGGTTTCTCTGAAAAAACTTTTGCCGTCTTTCTTCGAATGGAGAAATATTGAAATGTCTTCAATTTAATCACTAGGTTATCTAATAGAGAGAGAGAGAGACTACTGATTAAAACTGAGATTACATTGGCCGGCTATCAAAATACAATTCACAAATACTATGATATATTTATAATCTCTGACGTAACATCCAGTCGTATCAGATTTTAACAGTCATGAATGAAAAATAACTAAGAATGAAACGTGGATCTCTAAAATCGAACAGGCATTCATGCTACGGACTGAACCATTGGGCATCCCCCGATTTAGTCTTATTGTCGGGATACGTGGGCGAAATGCAGAACATTAATTGTATGTCCCTGCTTGACTTTTACAGAGCTTGACTTTTACTAAGAGCGGCAAAAGTCCTTTCAGTCTGGCTATAGCGTTGGTCAGTTTCCGCTTTTATGACTGACTTGTGTGGCGGCAGTGGTGGTGATGGAGTGGTGAGCCATGCTAATTTCTTCTATCTTTGTCCGTGAGTTGCACTAGGCACCCGACGGTCAGCACGATTTTCTGTGAAGATGGATATCGCGATGCTGGTTCCGGAGATGTTAGTCCGCGCCAGAGTTCTTATTTCGGGATTCCCCGGATTATTTTCCTCCTGAAGATATTTGTCAGCACTTTCAGGATATCGTCTTGATCCTGTATAAGTTCCATGCCTATACTATATCCAACTGCGGACGGAGTCGGGTAACGTTTGTTTATGCGTCATTGTTATCGCTTTGATATTATTGTCTGCGTCTTTGTCTTCCGTGAGTCGATCGTTGTTGATCTTAATCTTGATCTCGTCGTTTGTTTCGTTATCAGGTGAAGCGGACTTTAAATCTTTAATGTGTATGTGTCCTATACCATCGACCGCTGTTATCACGTAGATAAAAAATAACAGGCGACACCACGCCTGTCACCTGGAGAGGTTCTTTAAATTTCAGTGTGAGTTTGGCGTTAAATGCGGCGTTTTTATTTAAAAATAGATATTCTTTTTTGTAAACTTTCTCGTTGATTTTCGGTTTCTACGGTCTTGGATCATAATAGTGCTGTTACTTTGGAAAGACTCTGGTTAAGTTTATTTGCACGAGTTTATACGCCTCCTCGAGGTATCGACGCGGGCGGCGTGGTGTCGGGCGGGTGCAATTCGCGTTTACGAGTGACAGCAGCTCACGTCTTAGATTGAGGTACGCTGGCGTATACTCGGTCATGTTGCGCGGAATTAAACGCGAATTGCAACTCCGGTAGATGTTCGTTCCAATTTTTGTGATTACGTGATTATCTATTGGGTCATCTAAAAAGTATCCGCGGTTTTTTGTCGCTAGATGGTGTTGATGGCCAATACCATCTAGTGACAAAAAACCGCGGATACTTTTTAGATGATCCAATATATTGTACGATCATCGTCTTAAGAGTTCGTTTTGTGCGCTCCACCGGAACGCATTGCGGTGCGTGCGCTAGCGTATACACATGCTGGATCGAATACGCTTTTAAGAGTTTTTCTAGTTGCGACTACTTAAATTGTGCCATTGTCTGAAATTAGCGTCTGTGGGCGGAGTAGTACGGAGTATTAATTGGTTTAAAGTTTTCTTTCGTTATTTTATTTTGAAGTCATATTGCTGGAGCTCGAGTGTCCAGCGTCCGAGTTGAACGATAGGAGAATCTAATTTTTGTAACCATCTTACTTAGTGATTGATGGTCAGTGATTACTGTGAAGGGATAGCCTTCTAAATAGTCCCTTATGCGCCGGATCCCCCTTACAACGGCGAAGCATTCGAGCTTGGTAGCGCTATAATTGTGCTCAGCTTGATTCAATGTTTGGCTCGCATAGGCTATCACGCGTTCGCCTTCGGGAAGTTTTGCGTTAAGACGGCTCTAGTGTTACTTGCATTGGTCTGTAATATGAACCATTTTTAATTTTTCATATGCGACTTTCTCTCTCCGGCCCCTACTTCCAGCGCGTGTTCTTGGGCGAGTGCGGAGAGGAGACGGTAGGGAAGTCCTGTATGAACCGGCGGTACCACGAGGCGATTAAAAAAAAATTGTCTAATTTGTTTTACCGTTCGTGATAGCGGCCAGTCGACTATCGCTTTCACTACGCCGAGCTACTCCCACCAAATACAGAGCATGACCTTGAAGCCGTGAATATTCGGTTTGGCCGTCGACGTGGAAGCATGGCCGGGAACTCCCCATGATTTTCTGCGCTTGGGGTTATCGTAATGAACCCATTTTTCGTCCCCAGTCACACACAATGCGATGCAGAAATCCCTTCCGTCTTTGCCTTTCAAGCAGCTATTCACAAGCAAATAAACGCCGTTCAACATCTCTCGGCTTCAACTCGTACAGTACCCAATTTCCTTGCTTCTGAATCATTCCCATGATTTTGAGGCGTTTTGAAATGGCTTGTTGAATCACTCCCAATGATCGTACCAATTTGAATGATTTTAACACGAGTCTTGATTTTAACACGAGTCTTGATCAAGTAATGCCTCCAATTCTGCATCTTCGAAAACCTTCTCTCTTCCACCGTTATGCCAGTCTTCGACGTCAAAATCATCATTCTTGAAGCGTTGAAACTATTCACGACATGTTCTTTCACTAATAGCGGCCTCACCATAAGTATTTGAGAGCATTTGATGAGCCTCAGCCGCAGATTTCTTCATATTGAAGCAGAAAATTAAAACCTCCCGCAAATGA